TTTACTTTTGCAATCAATCTTCTAGAAAAGAGAATGTTGGACAATTGATGACCATATCAGTTGAACTTCAAGTACTATTTAAGATACATAATGTTAGATAGGTAAGTTGCCAGACTTTTTTTTTACATTTAACATAAAAAAAGTCACATATATTTGTGGCTAATGTCAAATATCCCTACATGGGATTGATTACATAATTGGTCAAAGACGTTGCCAATGCTTAAAATAATCAAATTTCCCATGCAGACCCGATTTAGTGTTTACACAGTCACAGGTCCTAAGGCTTCTGCCCAAACAAGTTATTTCCCATAGAGCCTGATCTCATGGAACTGGTACATCTATTGATGTTTTTGATCCTATACCAAGTTTGACTGCTAAACTTAGTGATCATCTCATTACTAGATTAGATCTTTATAGACTCCAGCAATGGAACAACCTAATGCAGGAAATGGCATTCTCACACTGTGTATGCAAAGACCAAGAACTTGTACTTAAAACTTGTTGTTTTATCCCCAGACAGTAACTTGAGAAACCATTAGCCTAACTGACTGCATATGTTCAAGTAAATATGCACATATGACAAAAAGACCTACACTTTTATGAGACTAAGCAATCTTGTAATCTAGCTGGCTTAAGGTAATTTTTCAAAAAAGTACTAACGCGACACGTAGTCAAAATGTAAATTAAAATTAGAATTCTTCATTTATATAGTATAAATTTAGTTTTATACTTGTTATTAATTTTTCTTGTCAAAATCTTTTAAATATGAATACCTATTTGTTATTTAATAATAACTTTGAGTTAAAAATATTATATATTTTAAGAGGGAAAAAAAAAAGACCATGGCACAGTGTTCGAGGAGTGTCGGCATCCAACACGAGTCCGACACAGACATGCTACCATAGTTAAACTGTCTGTGCTACAGAGTTGCCCTGTATGCCAATTTATGCCCTTGAGTGGATTGAAGTTTATCTAGAAATAGCATAGTTCTAACAAGATTCTAAATATAGCTAGATCAGACAGAACCAAGCAAACTTCAAAACCACTGTTACAAATATTCTATCAGACAAACTGTTATATCAGTTCAGCTGGTTACTAGGAGATAGTTTAACTGTCTCTAGTGAATGAGAAGGTAGATTCCAACATCCATAAATATCTAATACACAATTTATAAACAGAAAACATCCTAGAACTTAATGATGTATAATAAATTGTGTATTCCATCCACTTGATCCCCTTTTATAGTCACTCCAAGTCAAATTGCCTGAGGACTCCCTAGGGTCTTGGTCATCTAATCTGGAGAAAATAATTATTTTGGGAGCTTTGCACTCCATAATTCTTATTCATGTGATAATAATAAAAGTAATTTAGCATATGCATACTTGGAAATCTTTATAAAAACAAAAGGACAATGTCAAAATTCCAAATCCGAGGTGCAACCAACAGTATTTAAATATGATAATAAGGTAATGATGAAGACAGGAAAAAATACACCAAACCATAAAGGAAAAATAGGTAAATATCCAAAAGCTTATCTCATCATAGCATTATAAAAACTTACACTTAGTTCATACATAATTAACACCAAAAATTCATCATCGACTTTGACACTTGGGTGAGACTATTGCAGGAGGCTGTTGCATTGACTATTGGCATTACTTGAACAACACTATTTGATCTGATCAATACTTTTCATAATTATCTGCCCTCAAATTCTTAGATGCAATTTTCTCAAGCATGGGCCATTGATTTTACCATTGTGATAGATCTACCTAAAAATTTTTGTTGACTAGACAGTAACCATAACCAGTAAATTTACGATCAGCAAGACTCAACTTACTACTTAAGCCATCTCATGTAAGAATTGATTATATTTCTTTCTTGAAGTGAAAAGCAAACCATTTCAAATAAACAGAGGTCCCTCAACCATCCAGCTATAACAAGTTTAACTTTCAAACATAGTAGGAAACACCAAAGCCACCTAATTGGTAAAGAACAATTTGCATTTCATTCTATCTTCAACATTTTGAATCCGTAAGCATCCTTCCCCACATAGGCACGCACAGGTAGACATTAAATCAACAATATTTTACCTTTCTTTCCACTCAATACATAACAACAACAACAAAATAAACTTTGTTCCAAATAAATTTGGGATCAACTACAAGTATCCTTTCTCACAACTCCATTCCATCCATTGCTAGATCTATTGGAATCCAAAGCAACTAGTCCTTAGTAACCACAATAGGTTTCACGGGGTGCCTTTCTTTTTGTTACAAAAAGGGACATCGTGCGGCAGTACTCTATTCCGCTAGACTACCTTCCGCATTTTCTCGATTTTTTCGGGACGAAAAAATTTTGATCACAATTTGTAGAAAGCTTGCATTGAAAGTAAATTGATCATTAATTGATGAAAAAAAAAATTGCAATTGATAAAAGCAGAAAATTACAATGGCTGGTGCAAGGGGCGAACACCAGTAAGCTTGAAAGATTTTTGAATGACTAATACCCCCTATAATAGCTTGCGGAACAAAAACCTAAGTGATAGGAGTAAACGTTTAAAACACGAAGAATCATATTAAACGTTTACCAATATCAGAAATATTTTACAATTGAAATAAAATATTACAATAGAAAGGAAATTACAACTCAAACTGAACTAATATTTACAATGTGCGGCCAAAGTCGAGCAAACTGCGGCTGTGATTGGTTCAAGGGGCTAAGTAAAGAGCGGTCCTTGACATTCTCCCCCGTTTGTTTCGGTAACGTCCTCGGTGCCATCAATGCATGGTATACTTCAATTAATGGTTTGAAGGCTCCAAAATCTTTTTCTATTTCCCAACTATTCTTCTCGCTGCTGCATCCACTCCATTTGACCAATTACTTTTGATGATACTTCCTAGAAGCTCAAGTAGTTCGATGGTCTAGTATAGCTTCAGCAACCTTCTTTCTGGCTTTTCTCAATTCAAACACAAATTGCTTTGGCTCATTTCTAGATGCGTCCTCCTTGTCTGCAAAGTATGGCTTGAGTATGACAACATGAAGGACCTTGTGAATTTTGCACCATGAAGGGAGCTCAACTCTATATGCGACTCTTCCAATCCTCTTCACAATGGATAATGGCCCAATATATTTTTGCACAAATCTTAAGTCTTTCCCTCTTGTCGGTTTATAACAGTTTCTATCGAGAAGTTTGACCATTACCAGATCTCCAACATTAAATTCAAAGAAATGGCGCTTTAAATTTACAGACTTTTTATACCCTTTTTTGAACTTTCTCAAGATAACTCTGAACAAT